TTAGGCTATTCCCACGATAGTCTGCCAGATTTTGTATTACCTATTTGTCCTTTCTATGTCGTCATCCCTGACGATGGTCAAAAGGATGATGAGCTAATATTGGTGCTACTGAGCCTTTCTAGTTTTAGTTTTTGTTGTTCCTCTCGCCACCCAATTCAAATATCCTGATTCGTGTGGTAAGTTTCTAAGTTCTGAGCTCTAAAATTTAAATCCCTTATTCTACATGTCGTATACTTGAGCTAGGTTTTTTTGTGGATCTTGATCGATAGCTTGCATTTTCTTTCTCATGTTCTGTCTTGATTGTCGATTCGTTTTAGCTTAGAACCTTCTGATTACAGTTGACTTTCTTTGTTTATAAATTCCTGATCTACGCTCTAAGCGATTTCTTGAACTAGAGTTCTGGAAATCAGAGTCGAAAGTCTGTGAGGACATCAAAATCAACTTCCTATTCCGTTTTTCATCTTGAAATTTCGAAACTATCAAACTGTGTCTGTGATTGATCTTCTGAATTGGATGACCTTCTGATTTGGATGTCAAAAACTTCCGTGATTGCTAGTTGATCTCATTTTCCAATGTCGATTTCCAAAAGAAGCTCCAATAGATTGTTCTTGACCTTTGATTTCTGCTAATGATTGTCTTAAAGCTTGTCCCGGGAGGGAACTAAAATGGGAAGATGGAAAGAAGAACAGGGGACTTTAAATAAACGGAAGATGTCGATTCAGGCGAGTAGGTTAGGAGGACGATGCTGGGACGACATAGGCCGGTGTTGGAGCCTTGCTCTGTGACCCAGGGGGAGCTTGAGGTCTATGGAGTTATGCCGAGGGAGGAAGGCATAACCAGATCGTCCGACGTAGCCGGCACCGGGGCTTGGACCCTGTAACCTGTTGAGGGGTTTGCCGCTAAAGGAATTGTCGAGGGAGGAAGGCACTTCCTATCCGTCAAAACTAGGCTGGTCAGTACTGGGGAGGGTTGTGGGGCCTTGTTACCCTAGCAGAGGAGGGTATAAGACTAGGCGAGTTCTGGTACGAGGACCGAAAGCCGGGATCGACGGTCCGTTTGTTGAGAGGGAGATTTTAGGATAGGTGGTACTAATTCCCAATTTCAACCCCCCTTTTTCTGAATTTTATCCTGTTTTGGCCTTTGGGGGGACTTTAGAGTTTTCAGGATTCTGGGGCTTCTATCAACTTTTCCTAGACTTCTTTGTAGTTGTTATACTCAGTGATCTGTGGTTGTTCGATGCCAGAACGATGCTGGCCGGTGCTGGGGTGTTGCCCTGTAACCTGTTGACGCAGGAGCGTGAGGCCTGGTAGAGAGATTTGGGGATGCTTTGGGGTGGGCATCTCATGGGACAACCAAGGGGTTTTGCTGCTGGGACGACGCTGGCCGGAGCTGGGGCGAGTTGTGTTGCCCTGTAACCCAGCAGGAAGTGGGGGTGTGAGGCCTGGAAGAGCTGGGCAGGGAGTAAGACAACGGTGAGGAACTCTGGAAGAGTGTTGTTAAGGGGTTCGAGATTCTGGGAGCTTCTGTGAGAACCCCGGCGGCCTATTCTTTTGAGTTGGATTTTGAACCCGCCTTACTTTTGAAGCCTGTTATAGTCGTTTTCTGAGTAAGTCCAACTTTTTGATAAAAAAAGAACAAGGTCAGTGGGGAAGGAGATGGTGGGATATCACGCGTCCTACTAGTGAGGGGGCTAGCTGGTAGGATGGGAATAGGGTATAGCAGCAGCAGAGATGGTGGCTCTGCTGTCATAAGCCTTGCCGGAGTGAGGTAAAGTGGACGGATGGGGGGGATTTTTGAGTAGTTTTCTGAATTCTGTTTATAGTCAAAAAAAGGGTTCGTCAAAAACAATAAGGTCTTCAGAATGTGTTAGGACTCTGGGTTATTCACGCAACGCATTTTAGGCTTCCTTGATGCTGGTATTTCATGGACCTTCGGTTTTCGATGCCAGAACGACACTGGCCGTTGCTGGGGGGTCGCCCTGTAATCTGCTGATAGCAGAAGCATGAGGACTGGTAGAGAGATCTGGGGATGCTTTGGGCCGGGCATTCCAAGGAAAACCAAGGGTTGCTGTCGGAACGATGCTGGTCGGAGCTGGGGTGAGTCGTGTTGCCCTGTAACCTAGCAGGGTAGGGGCATGAGACCTGGGGGATTTCGGCAGGGAATGCGACAGTGTTTTTTTTTTTTTTTTTTTTTTTTTTTCTTTTCTTTTTTGGACATGCTCCAATCTATTCGTGGGGAGCAACACGTGCTGGGAACCGGGCCCAGCGTCCCATTCAAAAACATATTGAAGAAATTTTGCAGAAACCTTTAAGATACCAGGGCCATTGTTAGAGAATCTTAGAATGGTTTGTGGGGGATTCCAGGGTTTCTGAGCATTTGAAGGACCTCTATGCTTTTCTTAGTTGTCTCAGTAATTGCTGTTTGAGTAGTCCCGTATTAGATCGACAGGTTAGTAGCTATCCAAAGCTTTTCTTAAACCTTTCTTGAACTTTTTCATAGCTCTCCCATTGTTCTTAGCCAGAGCAAGGTAATGGCCCTGGTATTTCAAATCATTGTATAATGCTACATGGGACGCTGGGCCCGGTTCCCAGCACGTGTTGCTCCCCACGAATAGATTGGAGCATTTGTCCCAAAAAAAAAAAAAAAAAAACATGCACACACACAACAAAAACAGACTCTTTTTGTTTCCCCCCCCCTTAAAAGTTCCGCTTGATCCCACAAGAGGAGGTGATATGAGCATCCCCCTATAGTGGACTTCCGGCAAAAATCACAACCTTACCCATCCCCAACCACATCAACAAACAGACTACGGGCTGCGCTTCGCACCCATGCCCACACGGCAAGTCAATTTGCAATAAACCCCTGGTGTAGGTTGGCCAGTTCCAACTTCTTAATAATGCCCCTACCGGATAGGGGAGGGACCCTGCACTGGGACCAGCAGTCCCAAAGGGGCGTACTGGACAGTTGCCACCCCTGCTGACAGGGGCGTGCAGAAAACCGTAGTGGCTCCAGGGGTACGACAGGGTAAGTCGGCCGTCAGAGGGGCAACGCGCAAAAGATTTCAACTTCGAGGGGTGCGACACAAATTTTCCCTATAGTATTTTGTTTTTCAGGAAAAGAAAAAAGAATTCTGGGCAACCAACGCGCGCTGCTCTGCCCTTGTTACGACAAGAGACAAGCTCGGCGAAAATCCCGCGGGAGGTTAGCTCAGCCGGTAGTGGCGGCACTCTTGCGTGGATAGGGCATCGCCACACCTCTCTCGAAATGTGCAATATGGGAATGAACTTCCTCATAGAACATGGCCAGATGCGCCCGCCACATTTTTGTCTTTTTCACATTTCGAGTGGTGTGGCGGGGCCCATAGGCTGTAGGTGATGAGCGCGGAGTGCGCCGTGCTGGCGAAAAAAATACCGGAAAACAACAACAGGTCGGGCGGCATGTCCGAAGAGCCCGCTAATTTTATTATTATTATATTTATATTATAATTATAGTTATTATTATTATTATTATTTGTTCTGTTTTTGAAATTCATAATTGGACGGCTGTTGGGCCGTTAAAGCCTGCTAATTCAACGAGGACCGTTCGATCTTCTTCAGCTCCATGATCCTCCATCTGGCCAAGCTGCAAAATGGCGGGCAGTTCTTCCCACTAGCAAAGAGGATTGGAATAGGAGAGGTGCAAAAAATTGTGATTGGTCTGCTTTTCTGCATCTCGGTCCGGAACACGTCCAGATTCGGCCACTTTTTCCAATCCTCTTTGCCGGGGGGATCTAGCCCCAACCCATGTGGCTGGAAGGTCCAGGCATTGAACTTTTAGGGCCTCGCCACACGGCACGTGAAACGAAAACGAAATGAGTGCATCTGCCCACCAAAGGTGGCAAAATACACTCGTTACTATTTAAAGCAAACCGATGAACCTGGACATTTACGTCAGGAAGATGCACTCGTTTCGTTTTTCGTTTCGTGTCCCGTGCGGCGACGCCCTTAATCAAGATTCAAGAGGTCATGGGCTCGAAGTCCAGCCAACACACGATAGGGCATAAGCCGCACCACTCACGAAAATGTGAGAAAGACAGAAAAAAAACCTATGGCGGATGTATATTTTCAAGTTTTCGGGCAAGATACAGGCCCCATCGCGAGGCCCATGGTACAACAAAGAGGTCACGAGGTGCTGCAGACAAAAATAAACAAGCAAGCTGCCTTTTCACGATTGGCGAGCTCTGGGACTTTCCGAATGTGGTCGTAATTACGTCTGGATTCTGTCGAAACAGTTCCCCTGTGGTCGAGGCCCGACCCCTTTTGCGGACTCTTCGCAGCACGCCGTCGTGAGTTCAGAAATAGCAGCACAGCAACAACAAAAACAACAACAACAACAAGAAAAAAAAAAAAAAAAAAAAAAAAAAAAAAAAAAAAAAAAAAGGCAGCACAGGAGAGTTTTTCCATCACCATCGCCGTTCTCAGATTCAGCGGGGCGGTGCGCTCCACTGCACAAGCTAATATAAATGTATCCCGAGCTAATTGTGGTTCCGATTCATTCCAAAAATTGTAGATCGGTTTGAATGCATGAGGTCAAAATCGCTGTCCAGATACATGTAAAATTTGTATATTTGAGACCCAGTCAGACGTGCGCGGTGGGGTACTGACGGGTGCGTCTGGCTCGTGCGCGGTGGGGTACTGACGGGTGCGTCCTGCCCGTGCGGGCTGGACTCTGGAGTACTGGGTGCGTCCCTCTGCCTGAGTGAGTGGCTGTCGCTCTGTCGGTAGTTGCTCGCTCGTAGCTCTTACTTAGAACAACATACAACTTAGAACATACAACTATCTCTCTTACACACAACACAACTATCGATGGTGCGAACGTCGGGAACGGTAGCACGGAGCCAGGGGCACGCGGTGGTCGGGAAGCTGAGAGTTTTATCGCCTCCCAGACATCAGTATTCCAACTCACGGGGCCGACTACACTCGTAGACGCTTGAGAAGCGAAGAGCAATCAATGCGTTGAGAGCCAGTCTGTAGCGCATTTTGGAACACTCTGTGTGTGTGTGTGTGTGTGTGTGTGTGTGTGTGTGTGTGTGTGTGTGTGTGTGTGTGTGNGAGAGAGAGAGAGAGAGAGAGAGAGAGAGAGAGAGAGAGAGAGAGAGAGAGAGAGAGAGAGAGAGAGAGAGATGGCGGATCGGGGATGTGGCAACGGTGAAGTTTCATATTGGGTTTCGGATCATCGTCGTCAGTGTCTTAGTCCAATCGAGCGGCTTCGATGGAGAGGAGTGACGGGCGACCAGTTCATTTTCGCGATCGATTTCTCGAGTCTTAACCGGACATCAGGCAGGCGTTCCTTCGGCGGCTGCGGTCTTCACGACGTTCACCGCGGCGATGCGAACCCGTACCTGAAGGCCATGGCTATTCTCGGTCATGCCGTCAGTAACATCGTTCCCGCCAGACCGGGTCGCCCAATTTTTCTCGGCTTCGCCGCGGCGGACCGAAAGGTCTTCTCCCTCGGTTCTTCCGAAGATTGTCTTCGCTATGATGTCGAGGCTGGTCTCTGGCGCTACAAGGAGATAGCGCCATTTATTCGCGCTGGACACCCGTCTTCTTCTTCTTATTCCACTGTGATTGATGCTGCTATGGAGATCGTCGCCGCCGCCGGCGGTTTTCACATCTTGGTCATTCTGACGTGCGGTCGGCTGTTCGACCTCGGAAGTGCCGATGCCGCCCGGACTCTCAACGCTATTGAGAAGTCGAGGGGGTGTCCTCTCTCTATCAACTTCGTCGGTGTTGGGGATGGCCCATGGAGTGGGCTTTATAATCAATCGATTAGGCGAGTTCATAGTAATACCAACTTCGTGAATTTCACGGAGACATCTGCCATGCCTATGGAGCCGCACGAGAAGCAGGATCGGCTGGTGTCGGCTTGCCTTCGAGCCGCTCCGAGACAGCTGCTGGCTTTCGAAGACAAGCTGGCCCTCTCTATCTCTCCCCTCGCTGGGGGTGGTCGTCTTCCTCGCCCTCCTCCTCCCTTTGATTGGGGCAGTCGGATTCAGTTGCCGCCGGTGAGTGTGCTCCAAGCCGAAGCCGCGGGACAGCTCATTACCCGCGGGCCGCTGATGAACTCAGGGCCCTACTCTCCGCACTGGACTCCCTCGTCGTCGTCGTTGGCTTCGTCTTCGAGATGGAAAAGTAGCCATCATGGTTATGGGAGTGCGATTCCGAGTGTCGTCGATCAGGATCTTGATGGATCGCGGTGCTTGCGATGCAGCTCGACGGCGGAGATAGTGAACGCGCTGTTCACTGAGTGTGGGCATCAGACGTGCGTGCCCTGCGCAATGACGAAAGCGGTCATGTTCTGCCCTGTGTGCCAGAGCGCAGCCAATAACTGGGTCGAAGTATTCAGATAAAGACTAAGCGGCGGCGGCCGCGCCGCGGCGCAAAGTAGCCTCCTGATGGAAAAGGGCTCTC